AGAGCTACATAGCTCGAGTGGACATTACCTGGTAAAATAAATAGCAGTTAAAATAGTTACAATAATTTTCACAGTAAAATATAGGTAATACATAAGTTTTTTCAATACACACACTTTTATTTGCACTCAAACGTAAAAAATAAATTATTTTGACCCTAGAATTAATAAAATGTGATGTGCTGAATACAAGTGGGTGGCTTCCTTTCGACATCTTTAATTTTCTTTATGCAAACCACCCACTTTTATTCAGCACATCAAATTTTATTAATTCGGGGGTCAAAATAATAAATTTTATATGTTTGAGTGTAAATAAGTGTACATTGAAACATTTAGTTCTTTACTCTTTGGTTCTTTTTGGTTAAGTCACGTAGGTATAACACAAAATAAATTAAATTAAATGACGTTCTGGGCGCAACACAAGCGTCCGTCACCAGGTGGGACGACCACAGCAAGAAACAATTGCTGAAGTGGGCAAGAGAGCTTCTCTAACAAGAGGATATATAGGTAAGAGGGGGGAGGAGCCAGGGAGGAGAGGGGGGGGGGGTGCGTGGGGCAGGAGGAGTGGTGAGCTGCTAGAGCACGGGGGAAGAGAGAACAAAGGGGAAGAAGACGGAAGGGACGGCAGACTGCCCGGGGGGGGGGGGGGGGGGGGGGAGGTGAGGGGCTGAGAAGCAAGCAGGGCTGGCAAGCTGAAGAAACTGGAGATGCGGATAAGGAAGCAACAACATAACACAATTATTGTTTTACCTGGTTAATAAGATCCTTACAATGATTGCTCAATTCGTATCCATATTCTCGGTTAAAGTTATGTGTATGTTTATATATCTGGATGGCTTCATTAACAAACCTTTGATAGTAGCCCGAGGGTTTGCGGAGTACCTTGGTCTCGGGAAAAGACAACATGATGAGAGTCCACAATGTTATAGCAATGGTCAGCCACGGCGGAGGCGTTAGTTCTGCCGTGTTTCAGATCCAACTTCAGACATATCGTTTCGTTTCCCCAATATAACAATCACCACAGGTGCAACTTAGTTTGTAAACTCCAGGATATTGCATGTCAGGAATGACATCCTTCACAGATGGGATTAGATCACGGATTTTGTGTACGGTACTGAATCAGACCTGGATCTTGTGTTTAAGATTTTGGAAATATTTTTGGTAACGCCTGCTATGTATGGTAACGTGATGGTTTTGATCGGTGTCTCAGGGGGTTGTTTCTCCATGATTGGAGCATCAGCTTTGCGAATAATATGGTCCGAGTACCCATTCTTCTTGAGGGCCTGGCGTATGTGTTCCAGTTCACTAGCTAGGTGGTGTTGGTCAGAAATGCAGTGGGCCATATGGAGTAGTGTGTTTTTATGAGGGTATTATTCTGTGCTGGATGGTGGTGGGTATCAGGTTTCAGATAGGAATCTGTGTGAGTGGCTTTCCTGTAGACAGAGTGTCTCAACGAACCATCAGGTTTCTTCTCAAACAACACATCCAGGAAAGGTAGGTTAACATCCTTCTCCACTTCCATGGTGAATTTGATGGATGGGTGTATGGAATTAATGTGGTTGAGAAATTGGTTCAATGCTGGCAGACCATATGGCCAAATGACGAAAGTGTCATCTACATATCTCTTCCACAAGGACGTAGGGTGGATGTCTGGATGGCATCTGTTTCAAATTTCTCCATGAAAACATTCGCTATCACTGGTGATAAAGGGGAACCCATGGGGGTACCTTCATTCTGTTTGTAGAAGGTACCATTCCAGGTGAAGTAAGTGTTGGTAAGTGCCTTACCAGAGTAGGAATATCAGGGTTATTGGCAGTCCCTCACTTTCCAGGGCACCAAGCCATGGCCTGCATTCACAGAGCACTATCCATGTGATATATTTAACAAAATAGGTGTTTTAGTTTATAATTGATTATAAGGGTTTTGTGATTAAAAGTATTTGAGAGAGGGAAAGCTGTATTACAATATATGTTCAGATTGACTCCATTTACAGTAATTAATTTCTCACCAGACCTATCCCCATTCATCTATTAGCAGTTTATTGGATACAGCGATGATCCATTTTGAGTAAATGTATGTGTATGTTGAACTTCTTTCGCACCGTACATCGCCAACCGTGCTAATCAGAGGTGCATGGAAAGGACAAACTAAACACAAAAAAAGCAGTTCTAAAGAAATTAATTTTAAATCTAGATGTATATTAATCTAGATTTTATTTGTGAGGCATACCTGTGTAACGAGTGGTCTCCGACATGGTAAGTAACTTTGTAGGTTTATTCAATAAAGCTTGGTACAGCCACAGACTCCATCTCTTTATTTTATTTACGGACTCCACCCTTCGGGTGGCTACGCTGCCCCGCGGTACGTGGCGCTCACCCACTCTCCGACACACCACTGGCTGACGGTGCACCGGGGAGCGACTGAGCGGCTGGAGGACGAGCCGCCATGGCGGGGCAACAGCGGCGGGGCTCCTCTTCAGTCTTCAATCACCGACCCCTTGCGTTGCTCTGTGTCCCGCTTATATCCCCCTCTCCGGACTAAGCCCCGCCTCTGGCCACGCCCTTCCTGGAACGTTCCCGCCTCTCACCTTTCCCCTAAATGTAAACCCTACAATGGATAAGCCTGGGCTGTAGAATGAATGTATGCCCCCCTGATAATCCAGGCGATGGCGCTCTCATTACATCACCCCCCCCCCCCCCCCCCCCCGTGTGAAAAATGTAGCCATCCTGGCTAAGGAAGGGCAACACAACAGAGCGCCATCAGCCCCATGAACCGAACACAACAGGAAGAAGAGAATCATAACGGAAGGTTGGACCCCCCCCCAACGCAACAACAACACAGCGGAAGAACACGCAACTCGAATCTGAAAAATGGCTTATGAAAATCGCGCCGATTTCAAGTGTGTCCGCGTGGCCGGTCCATCCACCAGTGGCGAAAAAGGAACATCGGCTGGTGGAGGTAGCGGTCCAACAGGGGGCGGTCCGGCCGGCTCCCCCGCAGATGGACACGGGGGAATGGCGACGTCCTCCGGACCCGCTGTCACCCTCAGGGGCGCTGTGGATGGAAAAGAAACAGGCTGCGGAAGATCACCCTTCACAGGGGTGACAGGTCTGGCCAGCACCAACATACGTACCATCACCAGCGGATTCAACTGCTCTCGTTTCACATCGGGGTAGGCATCCACCGCCAAGGCCATCAAGGCACTTTTGTAGGCGAGGGGCGACTCCGAGCTCCCCCCGCCTACGGTGCTGAAATGTTCTCATTCTGTCGTCGGGCGGCTCGTAGACCTCCGCCATCTCTGCAAAGGCTTGTGTGAGCGTCTTCTTCTTCTCCGGGGAGATAGAATGGAAAACAGCCAACGCATCGTCATCCAGCATGATGGGTAAGGCAATGAGCGCCTCCTCCTCCGACCAGCGAAGAGACTTGTAGGCAGCGTCGAAGCGCCAACAAAAAGCGCTCCAATCGCCATTAGCCGCCACAAATTTACGCACGTGGGGCAGGCGTCGACCGCGATCGCCGCCTTCTCTCGCAGCGGGTGTCGCGATGCTTGGTGAATCCCCGCGCGGCAGCGACGAACTGACGGCCGGTGCACCGCTCCCCGCGGCAGTAGACAGAATGGCGGCCGTAACATGCGTGCTTGGCGGGAACTGCGAAATGGTGGCCGTATCCACCCCGCCCGGAATGGCGGCTGTATCAACCAAAGGGGGACCCTCCAAGGCGCCGTCACCGGCCCTCTGCACGTCCACCCCCGGACGGTCTGCCACTGGACTGCCTCCAGCGGCGATCAGCGTGACGAGAGCGACGAGATGGAGGAGCGCCATTGTCAGGATGCCCAACTGCGTCTCCACCCTATGCCATAGGTCGTCCGGGCGATGGTAGGAAACTCCCGCCACGCCGTCTGCCGCAGGTGCAACATCAACACCCCTCGTTGGCTCCATCACTGGGGCCACAGCCCCCGGGGTTGGTGGGAGCTGATCGTCGTCGGAGGACACTGCAGGCAGATTCTTCGTCTTCTGATGTTTAGACATCGTGTCTTGAGTAGCATGATCAGAAAAAGTCCACTTAACTGACACCACTGTAATGAGTGGTCTCCGACACGGTAACTATGTAGGTTTATTCAATAAAGCTTGGTACAGCCACAGTCTCCGTCTCTTTCTTTTCTTTACGGACTCCACCCTTCGGGTGGCTACGCTGTCCCACGACACGTGGCACTCACCCACTCTCCGACACACCTCTGGCTGACGGTGCGCCGGGGAGCGACTTAGCGGCTGGAGGACGAGCTGCCACGTGGTCGATGTAGATGGCGGGGCAGCAGCGGCGGGGCTCCTCGTCAGTCTTCAATCACTGACCCCTTGCGTTGCTCTGTGTCCCGCTTATATCCCCCACCCAGGACTAAGCCCTGCCTCTGGCCACGCCCTTCCTGAAACGTTCCCGAACGTTCCAGAGGCATCCCTGGTGGAACCGCCTCTCACCTTTCCCCTAGATGTAAACCCTACTATGGATAAGCCTGGGCTGTAGAATTAATATATGCCCCCCTGATAATCCATGGGATGGCGCTCTCATTACACCTGTAATTAAAACTTTGGGCACCAGGGATGGTGAATCCTGCAGACTTTGTCAGTTGCTGTTTCTTCTAACCTGCTGTGCTATGGTATTACCAGGTAGGAAATGTGAGCTGATCTATTTGCATACATTATTGGGGTTATGCACTCTTATTTATGGGTTTTCTCCTGGTCATCCGGTGTCCTCCCACACGTTTAGTGAACTATTAAAACATCCATAATCTGGAGACTCAGTAAAGCTTTCTTAGATGTACTTTTACACATTAATACATATTTTCTTAGAAGAGATAAAACAGATATACTACATTACATCCATATCCTTATGTAAGAGATCTGATATAAACACATGGCACACACTTAAAATACACGGCAAGATATGTTTGCAAAGGCATATCATTCATAACTCGTTTGCATTGTGTATATGTGTGTATGAACACACAGATGCGGCATGTCCTCCGAACAGCATCTACACTGAGAGCATGACTGCTTGTCCGGCCTCCTGTGGGAATCTCGCTGCGCCTGAGGAGTGTGGCCTGCCCAGAATGGAGGGGTGCCAGTGTGAGCTGGGGTTTGTGTGGAGCGGCTTTCACTGCGTGCCCTTTAGGGACTGTGGCTGTTTTCATGATGACACCTACTATGAGGTAGCAACAACACACACAAGACACACAAAACAATAACATACTACACTGTTCTGTAGTAACATGCATAATTCTGTCTATATATTACATAATGTTGATTTTAGGTCATATACTCTGTGGGTTGTCACATGGTTTCCAATATTAGAATTGCAACCAATACCAATTATTCTCATGCAAATATAAATGTCCTTCACCTGTTTGTTGGCAGCACCGTGTGGCAGTTATGAACGAGATAAACAGACCACACCGACTACCTGTACACGTTGCAATTTGTGGTAAACTCTTTCAGAGGGTTTCCATAGCAAGTGGGTTGATTAAACGCATGGTCTTTTCCATTCTCTGTGTCCATTTCCCGTGAAGGTGGGCAAGGAGTTTTACTCACCCCAATGCAGTAGTCGGTGCCAGTGTGTGAACACGGACACAGTCCTATGCAGAAACAAGGGCTGCAACGTAGAAGAAGTTTGCTCCATCAGCAACTACACCTTTGGTTGTTTCAATCGTGAGTCTCGAAGGACACTGTTTCACCTCTCATCATACTCCATGTAGAAAGCAAATGTGCATATTTTTATGTAATTACCCCTCTTAAGATGAGTGGGTTATATATGGCTAGTCCAGTTTATTCTCAAATGCAACACTCGCATTCAAATTCTGAAAAAAGGTGCGACTCTCAGGAAGACTTCCCGAAACTATTGAGCACTTATTTGGTTAGTATCAAATAAACCCTTAGAATGTAAAAAAAAACCGTGGAGAAATTGGTTTAAGTTAAACGTTAAGTTATATTTCAATGTATACTGATTTACAGTTGTTCTTAAGGTAGATAGTGATGATTTCATCCATAAAACAGCCGATTCACAATAACAATGGATGCATACCTTTTTCCCCATAATGCAGTTAGACATTGTTGTTGGATCATTTGATATAAATATATGAGACCCTTGAATATTGCGGTGCTTACGTTCTTGGAAAGTGTCGCGAAAGGGGAAACCGCAATATTCAATACTCAAGCCTGACCTAAATAATGCTGTAAAGCAAATGGCAACCGAAAATAAGACATCACAATTGAAATAAGTACTGAACTGTATGTCATAAAATAAAGTAATTGAAATAAACAGGTAAAAAGCCTGTACAGAAAACATTCCTAGACAATAAATAGTACAAATACTCAATACATACTGTAACTTACCGATGATGATGATCCAAAGCGGGTGTGCGTGTGTGTTTGACCGTGGAGTGGGGAACGGTAGTTCAAGGATTAGCACGCTGCACTACGATTATCTGAAATGGTCCTGGGCTTCCCTTAGGTCGACTCAGCCTCAAATGAGTACCTGATGTGATGTGTAAAAATCGCCACTGGGGAGACAGGTGACCAGGCGTGGTTCTGGCCACCCACCTCCTGCCGTCCTTCGTAGGTGCTACTCACTAAGAGCACTTGTCCCAACAGTGTGTTAAGGCTATACGGGGGATCTTTGTCCGCGAGATGTTTACATGGCAAAGGTTGAGTGCCACCGACTGCCTCTCTTAGCTCGCCTGCCCCGCCCCACAGTATCAGCCACACAGCACCATGATATGTACAGTATACCCACCAAAGGCCAAAACTAACCCCGCGATACCTAATTGGTGTACAAAAAGCTTTCTTGCGATAGGTCGAAACCGCGAACGATAAATCCGTGATATTCAAGGGTAAACCTATTTTATAAAAATTTAAAGTGTTTTTACTCATTCTGTGCGACAAGAAAAATATTGATGTCAATTCAAAACTGTTCCTTTGCCAGCTTATATCCATAAAGCCATTTCAGGGCCCCACAGTGTAAAGTGCATACTCCAACGATAAGTTCTGTTCTGTCTAGGATGGGTCATTGCTGCAACATCAGTCTAATATGTATATATGTTACATATGGCAATGTTAATGATCAGTTTAACATGTAGGCTTTAGCGACCATCGAGCTAATAGTGCCAGATGGTGACAGTCTGAGAAGTGACATTCAACATGTCAATGAAGCGCTGCCAATGAACGGTTACAATGATGCACAAATCAGCAGGGCATTGAATGCCAAAACCAAATCAAATAACACGAGCATTGCAACTGCCCAAGTAATTAAAACGATCAAAATACCGTACATTGCGGGAGTAACTGATAAACTAGCCAGATGTTTGTAAAAACAAAACATCCGAGTCAGATTTGGCACGGTACATAAAATACAGAAATTAATATCTGGTAAAAAGATGTATTACCGAAGCTATCAACAGAAAGGGTGTGTACAGTATTAACTGCACTTGTGGCAAATGCTATGTTGGGCAAACAGGACGAATGATCAGCACAATACTAAAATAACATCAGATAATTATTAAATATACCCAAATACAGTGGTACCTCGGAGATCGAACTTAATTCGTTCCAAAGCTGTGTTCGAACACCGAATTGTTCCAACACCGAATCAATTTTCCCCATAAGAATGAATGGAAATAGCATTAATTGGTTTCTCACACAGGATGCTTCTATTATGGGCCATTTTTACACAAAGTTTACAATATTAAAATACAGTACAGTACATAAAAGCATACAAAAACAAGAAACAGTTATAATTAATAGAATAAATGAACATTGAACTTTACTTTACCTGTAGTAAGGAGAGTGGATGGCTTGAGTGGAAGGTGGTGAGGAGGGGAGGTGTCAGTGTTGCTTGGAAGGGGAGTCCCCCTCCATAAAAACGTTGGGTAACTGCCCTTCTGGGGTTCTTTCTTTTATTTGCGTTTTTTCGAGCACTTACTGTGATTCACTTGAGGGCCTTTTCACTAAAAATTGATCAAGAGAGGATTGTTTCTGCCTCCGTTTAAGATGTTTCTGAAATTACTCAATGCATTAACATTATAAAAATCGCCTGCTCTGCTGGCTACTGCGTTATCTGGATGATGTTTTTCTACAAAATTGTGTAACTCAGCCCATTTTGCCACCTTTGAAAAATGGCTTTGTGTAGAGTTTTTTAAAGTTGGAAATTACCTGTTGGTCCATGGGCTGGATGAGAGGAGTCGTATTGGGGGACAGGGACTTTACATTGATAAAGGACAAGAGGTACGCGTAAACTGGGTCATTCGCCTTTGTCTCGGTCGCCCTGGCTACGCGCCTCGGTCCAAACAGGTTTTTCCAGTTGTTCGACCCCCGAATTTTTGTTCGATGTCCGGGGCAAAAAGTGGTCGACAATTTTGTTCAATCACCGAATTGTTCGAGTTCTGGGGCATTCGATCTCCGAGGTACCACTGTACAACTGTCAGCAGTCACAGAATATTCGTGCCAAAAGGACACTCGATTGAATCTTGATTTGAAGCTTTCGTGACTGCAGGAATCCACACTATTTGGTTCTTAGCAACATCAGCAAGGACGAGCGTTTTGAACTCTCTAATTAAAAAACAGAGATGACTGTCATCCTCTCAGCCGACAAGGGCAATGCCACTGTCATCATGGATAAAACCACATACAACAACAAAATTCAGGACCTTCTTAATGATGGCAGCTATACCAAAATCAACAGAGATCCCACTAATTGCCTAGCTACTAAAACCAACAATATCATGCTTGTTAATGCTCATATTCGTGGCATTCTGAAAGGAGGAAAATTGTTAGTTTTATTTTCTTAGGTCACCATCAAGTGAGCAATTGTGACCGAGTGAACTAAGATAAGGAGACCGCAATGCCCTTCTTCAGAAAATGCTGTGATAGTTTTTTCACATAGACCACGTGCTCTGTACGTATCTGAATGATGTTTTAAACTTAAGGAAGCAAATGCAATCGTACAGAATGAAACAGTTTCAGTTTCAAGAAACCATTGATAACTGCGAACAACCCATCGGCTGTGTTGCAGTGGACGCTTGTGATTCAAGCCCATGTCTGAATGGAGGAACCTGCACAGAAAATGGTCGAGATTTTGAGTGCCACTGTCCACCCACACACAGTGGGATCGTTTGTGAACATCCAGGTACGTGCATAGAATAAGCCAACATTTATAACATTCTCCTGCTGCAGTATCTGTATATGTGACAATACCATGCATGGAAGGTTTTTCACACTTGAGATGTTAAAAAAATATGTACTACAGGCACAAACACTTGGATTATCGATTATATTAAATCATTGGTTAGAAAGATGTATCATGATATGTAGGTATGTAAGGCAAAGCTTGTCTTGCTGTTGAGTGATATTGAGTCATTTGTCGTTTAACTATAATTTAATAATTTTATATTTTGACATTTTTCTCTTATCTCTTTGTTGTGATTTATGGTTAATCAGGCCTCCATTGAGAAATAAATGTCTCTCGTATGTATGTTGGACTTATTTCGCACTGTACGTAGCCAGCCAATACTAATCGGAAGTGGGGCAGAATGACAACAAACTAAACACAAAAAGCAGTTAAATTAAATTATATCACATACAATAGCAGATAATTTTCGTGTTTCTCAATTTTGATCAAGTGTGGGATTTGAATGTAGTGCAATTAATTCATTAGACCTTTCTCCTGCATGGTAATTATGCCATAGTCTGCACCCCCTGAAATGGTTCAGGGAAGTGCAATTCGTCTCTTGAGAACTGCCACTGTTTGCATTTTGGATGCTGTACTTGATCTGCACTGGTTATATTATGCTATGTGTGCTAACATTACAGTTGTATGCGAATATCAAGCTGTGCCATCTGGTTGCAATAAATCTCCTTTTTTTTGCACTTAAGGGAATACACCACCGCTCGACACTGTCACCATCATCATCATAGTGGTCTGCACTGTTGGTGGAATCGTTTTGATCTCCGTGACCATTGTAATTGTCAGGTTCCGCCGTGGGAGGTGAGTCAATTATTGATTACAATAAAATGTACTTGCATTCATTTCTGGGGACGTCATTAGTAACCAAGTATTTCATTTATAATGTCTAAATATGGCCGAATCTCCAGACGATCTGTGAGAGATAGGGCAAGCACTGGAGAGGTTTAAGGATATACAAGGGGTGTGTGATGGTGACTTGTGTCCAGGGCACCCGAAGAAAAGGAAAGGCCTGATTGGGAGAAATGGCTCCCCTGATCTGTACCCGAATGGTGAGATGTTATTGGAATTCTGCGCTAGTCACGGAATGTCAATAACAAACACCATGTCCGAACACAAGAATGGTCATAAGTGTACTTGGTACCAAAGCACCTTGGGCTGAAGGTCAATGATTGATTTGTGGACACTCGGGTGAATGGAGGGGCAGAGCTTTAAACTGATCACCACCTAGTGGTAAGTTGGATCCGATACTTAGGGCACCGACCAAATAGACGTGGAAGGCCCAAACGAATAGTGCGGGGTTTCTGGGAACATCTGGCGGAAGACCCAGTGCAGAAATATTTTACCTTCCACCTTCAAGGGAGATCGTGGACATTGAGTCCGAGCGGACGGTGTTGAGGACATCGATTGTGGATGCAGCTGTGAAAAGCTGTGGCCTGAAGGCAGTTGGTGCTTGTCACGGCGGCAACCCTAGGACCTGATGCTGAGGGAAGCTGTTAAGTTGAAGGAGGCTTTCTGAGCTAAGCTTGGAAAAAGGTCTCCCGACTCGATTGAGAGATGCTGGTTTGCCAAGATGGCGGCAGCTGCAACAGTCACTGAAGCGAAAGCCCGGGCGTGGGAGGAGTTTGGAGAAGCCCCAGAGAGGGATTACCAGGCAGCATCAAATATGTTCTGGCAAACCATCTGACGTCTTAGTCGAGGTTGACGGGACGTAGCCCAGGCTGTTTACAGTAAGGGTGGTGTAACATTGACCTCAACTGAGGAGATCGTCGAGAGGTGGAAGGAACGCTTTGAGAAGCTCCTCAACCCGGTGGACATTCCCGCCTCTCGGAAGGCAGCCCTGGAAACAGCTGGGGTGTTCGGAACCATCACGGCTGCTGAAGTCGCTGCAGTGGTCGAGGACCTCTGTAGCGGCAAGGCTGCTGGGGTGGACGAGATTCGCCCAGAGTTGTTGAAAGTGCTGGACTGTGTTGGAGTGTCGTGGTTAACACGCCTCTTCAATGTTGCATGACAGGTGGGTGCAGTACCTCTGGATTGGCAAACTGCGGTCATGGTTCACATTTTTTTTTAAAAAGGGGACCAGAGGGTGTGCTCCAATTACAGAGGAGTCACATTCCTCAGCATCTGAGGTAAAGCCTATGGCAGAGTACTGGAGAGGAGGCTCCGCCTGGTGGTCGAGCCTCAGATTCAGGAGGAACAATGTGAATTCCGTCATGGTCATGGAACAATGGACCATCATTGTTCCCTCTTACAGATATTTGAGGGGTCATGAGAGTATGCTTCTCCAGTCTACCTCTGCTTTTTAGACTTGGAGAAAGGATATGACCGTTTTCCCCACAATGTCTTGTGGGAGATGCTGCGGGAGTATGATATTCTGGTGCCACTTTTGTGCACTATCCGGTCCCTATATTCCTGGAGTGAGAGCTGTATCTATACTCTTGGTGTTAAATCAAAGTCCTCCACTGTGGGTGTTGGACTCCACCAAGGGTGCATCTTGTCTCCACTTCTGTTAGTGATTTTTTATGGACAGGATATCACGGTGCAGCCAAGGTATGGAGAGTATTCAGTACGGAGCTATCAAGGTGGCATCACTGCTTTTGTAGATGAAATTGTTCTCTTAGCTTTTTCAGTCTGTGATTTCGAGCATGTACTTAAACTTTTTGATGCCTAATGTGAAGCAGCTGGGATGAGAATCAGCACCTCCAAATCTGAGGTCATGGTTAGTGGATTGTTTCCATCCAGATGAGGGGAAAACCACTGCCCTTAGTGGAGGAGTTTAAGTACCTCTGGCTCTTTTTTGCGAATGGTAAGTGGGAGCAGGAGATCGTCTGGCGGATCGGTGCAGTGTCCGCAGTGTTTCGGGCACTGTATCATTCTGTGGTAGTGAAGCGGGAGCTGAGTTCTCGAACAAACTTCTCGGTTTACAGTTCGATTACCATTCTCACCATCACCTATAGTCATGAGCTTTGGGTAATGACCGAAAGGATGAGATCGCGGGTACAAGGGGCCAAAATTAGTTTTTTTTCCGCAGGGTTGCCAGGCTCACTCTCCATTATAGGATGAGGAGCTCAGTAATCTGGGAGAGCCTCAAAGTTGAGCTGCTGCTCCTCCGGATTGAGAGGAGCCAGCTGAGGTGGTTAGGGCACCTGGTAAGGTGCCCCCCGATAGATTTCCCCTGGAACTCTACCGGGCACGTCCCACATGGCAAAGACCCGGGGGCCGGCCCAGGATACGCTGGGGGTACTATATTGCTCGGCTGGTCTAGGAATGCCTGGGAATTCTCCAGGTTGAGCTCAAGTCTGTTGCCAGGGAAAGGGAGGTCTGGACCGCCCTACTCAACATGCTGCCACCACGACCCTCACCAAGACAAGCGGATTGAGAAATGAATGAACAAACACTTATATATCTGCTTATAATGTATTTTACTGAAATAGCACTGACACCTTTGTTTTGGCAGGAAAAACATGAAGCTCGAAGAAGTATATGACACTAAATCAAGTGCTTCTTCCGAGGATGACACGGGGCTTGCCAATTTCAATTACCTTCATGAAGATGTTGTAAACAGTGATGTGTGGGCCGCTTACATCAAAACAAATGATACAGGGATATTAAAGGTGCCAGATATCACGTCTAGTGCCTTCTAGTAGGTACAGTATTTATGACTTCGTATAAGGTGGGCTCATTATGATAGCCATGTTGGTCCAGTAAAGCTGGACAAGGCTTTGTGAAAGACATAAATTCTTTAGAAAATGATGAAGCCTGCCGATAAAAGTTACTGGTAATTGATAGTGATTCCTCTTGTGTCTATAATCATGTAGTAAATGCGTATATTCGCATTGCCATGACAATATTACAAATCTGCAGTAATTACAATCGATTCAAATGTATTCATGCACTCTAACAATGGAAAAGCAAATTATGAGGCTCAAGTCGTGCACCAATATATTGTAATAAACGAACTATATTATATGTGCCTGTGTGTATATATTTTTATTGATACTTTGCAATCAAAGTTGTGAACACTGAGACAGCTTATATTTTTCTTATTTTGTGGTTGATGATCCATGCCCTATCAATTTGTAAATGTTGTGAGTTACTCTCCAAAACACAACCGGTGTGCTGAAGAAACAACTAATTGGCATGTTTTGTTTACGTGTAGGGTTTAATGACACATGTTTCTGCGATCTAACCAAAAAAAACCTCTTATGGATAATATTTGTCGCCTGTGTGTTAAACAGGTCTTGTCTATCATGGGACCTCCTTTACCAGTACCAACATATTATAATAGGTTTTTCCCCTTTTTCTGGCAACAAAACAGGTATTAAGATGTTAAAACACCAAACTGAAACCTTTTACAAGGAATCATGTCTGCATGACCCACAATGCTTGTGGTCAGAATGCAAGCAAAAAACATACTCTGGTAATATCAGCATTGTCCTTGAAACTGATTAGTCCACACCAGAGACAGCTTTCTTTTGAGCCTCGTCTCAAACGGTGTTTAGACCAGAGGTGTGGACCAATCAGTTTCAAGGACAATGCATACAGTGAGGGAAAAAAGTATTTGATCCCCTGTTGATTTTGTACGTTTGCCCACTGACGAAGAAATGATCAGTCTATAATTTTTATGGTAGGTTTATTTGAAGAGTGAGAGACAGAATAACAACAAAAACATCCAGAAAAACGCATGTCAAAAATGTTATGAATTGATTTGCATTTTAATGAGGGAAATAAGTATTTGACCCCCTCTCAATCAGAAAGGTTTCTGGCTCCCAGGTGTCTTTCATACAGGTAACGAGCTGAGATTAGGAGCACACTCTTAAAGGAAGTGCTCCTAATCTCAGCTTGTTACCTGTATAAAAATCACCTATCCACAGAAGCAATCAATTAGATTCGAAACTCTCCATCATGGCCAAGACCAAAGAGCTCTCCAAGGATGTCAGGGACAAGATTATAGTCCTACACAAGGCTGGAATGGGCTACAAGACCATTGCCAAGCAGCTTGGTGAGAAAGGTGACAACAGTTGGTGCGATTATTCGCAAATGGAAGAAACACAAAAGAACTGTCAATCTCCCTGGGACTGGGGCTCCATGCAAGATCTCACCTCGTGGAGTTGCAATGATCATGAGAACGGTGAGGAATAAGCCCAGAACTACACGGGAGGATCTTGTCAATGATCTCAAGGCAGCTGGGACCATAGTCACCAAGAAAACAATTGGTAACACACTACGCCATGAAGGACTGAAATCCTGTAGTGCCCGCAAGGTCCCCCTGCTCAAGAAAGCACATATATATGCCCGTCTGAAGTTTGCCAATGAACATCTGAATGATTCAGAGGACAACTGGGTGAAAGTGTTGTGGTCAGATGAGACCAAAATGGAGCTATTTGGCATCAACTCAACTCGCCGTGTTTGGAGGAGGAGGAATGCTGCCTATGACCCCAAGAACACCATCCTCACCGTCAAACATAGAGGTGGAAACATCATGGTTTGGGGGTGTTTTTCTGCTGAGGGGACAGGACAACTTCAATGCATCAAAGGGACGATGGACGGGGCCATGTACCATCAGATTTGGGTGAGAACCTCCTTACCTCAGCCAGGGCATTGAAAATGGGTCGTGGATGGGTATTCCAGCATGACAATGACCCAAAACACACGGCCAAGGCAACAAAGGAGTGGCTCAAGAAGAAGCACATTAAGGTCCTGGAGTGGCCTAGCCAGTCTCCAGACCTTAATCCCATAGAAAATCTGTGGAGGGAGCTGAAGGTTCGAGTTGCCAATCGTTAGCCTCGAAACCTTAATGACTTGGAGAAGATCTGCAGAGAGGAGTGGGACAAAATCCCTCCTGAGATGTGTGCAAACCTGGTGGCCAACTACAAGAAATGTCTGACCTCTGTGATTGCCAACAAGGGTTTTGCCACCAAGTACTAAGTCATGTTTTGCAGAGGGATCAAATACTTATTTCCCTCATTAAAATGCAAATCAATTCATAACATTTTTGACATACGTTTTTCTGGATGTTTTTGTTGTTATTCTGTCTCTCACTGTTCAAATAAACCTACCATTAAATTTATAGACTGATAATTTCTTTGTCAGTGGGCAAACGTACAAAATCAGCAGGGGATTAAATACTTTTTTCCCTCACTGTAGGAGGAGGATTTAAGACAGAGAAACCTAGGGAATTACCGGTGAATCAGAGATGAGGAACGCAGATACAGGGACAATGGAAGGGGGGGGGGGGGAGAGGGGGGCGTGACGTGATGCCCCCCGTAATGGCCAGAGCGTTCAAAACGGCCGGTAAAAAGCACTCGATTGGACGCGCAGGATGACATCCCACTCTACTCCTCTCCACACACTCACCTGTCTCTCCCCTCTCATCACACTACTTACCTCAACAAACTCACCTGTCTCTCTCCTCTCATCCCACTACTCCCCTCCACAAACTCACCCATCTCTCCCCGCTCATTCCACCCGACTCCACTCTACACACTCGCCAGTCTCTCCTCCCTGATCTCTCTCTAGGCCACACTCACCTGCCTCTCCCCTTTCATCTCACTCTACTCTGCTCCACACACTAACCTGTCTCTCCCCTATAATTCCACTCGACTCCCCTAAACAAACTCACCTGTCTCTCCCCTCTCTTCCCACTCTACTCCACTCAAAAAACACACTTGTCTCTCTCCTCACTCTAAAACCCTCCACACACTATCCTGCCTCTCTCCCGACTCTTTCAAATCTACTCCCCCCCCCCCCCCCCCCCCACAAACTCAATTGTCTCTCCACTCTCATCTCACTCTCGGCCACATGTGTGGTGGTGATGTTGGAGTACGAACACACCAAGCCGGGCTACTTACAATACTTACCGGTGCGGTGAGTGTGTCATCTCGGACCAGGCTTCCTGAGGGGAGGGGGCTGTGGGGTCAGTAGGATCCCACAGGACCCCACCCCTCTGGGATGCGGTACAAACCTGTTGTGGGCAGTTGTGTGTGATTGTGGGTCCGGAGCCTCCTGAGGGGAGGGGACTGGGGGGTCGGTGGATCCCACAGAAACCCGCCCCTCGGGGGAGAAATTGTATAAAAGGAGGGACCCAGAGAGCAGAGAGGGCAGTTCGATCAAGCAAAGATGAAGAGCCAGTGAAAAGAGAAGACCGACTAGCCAGACCCTGGAACTCCTCTGACTCGCTGCCCTTTTCAGGGCCGGGCAGAGCAAGCCAGGGTGCGACGCCAGAGCCGCGAGGGCCGATGTCCTTCTAAGGGCCGGACTCGTGTGGCTGGTGGTCGAGACCTGCGCCGACGCTGGGCCAGGTAAGGTAACCTCCGGCAGGGAGGACTAGAATCGAGGGAAGTAGGGAGTTAACGTGGGGCATTAACTCGGGCAACACTTCCCTCTATATAGCACGGGTGAAGAGGCCGTTACCTCTTCAAGTGTCAGGGTCGCTACTGTTGAAGTATTTGTAATAAATACGTGTTGTCTCAAGTCAACAGTCTCCATCGTCAATAAGATCACTATACATGTACCAGTCTCTTCCCTCATTTCACTTATACTCCTCTCCACTGTTGGATATTAGCCTTTTTCAAAATTGATATTAATAATATTTGCCGATAGATATATGTTTTTTTTATAAATAATAGCACCCTCGAACCAACAAGCAACCTCATCCCAGCAAACAGATGTAGGACGTGAAAAGGCCATTACAAAGAGCCATCCTCCCCACACACACAACAGGGCGCCAGGAGATGGATCATAAAAGGTAATAAACCCAATCAAAGGAGACGGAAGGGGGGGAAACACTCCAAGAAATTCCAGGGCTCCATCTGGGAAGCCGAGACATGACGGCGCTGAGCGAGTTAAACAATTTCCCTCTTATTTGCTATTAAAACGACGGTTAAAGTTCAAAATTCCACAACAAGAATAAGCTAACATTATCGATCCTCACACCCACTCCAATTTAAAAAAAACAGGCCATAATCTACATCAGTGAATCATTACCCAATTATTAATTCGTTATCAAATGATTTTCACCTTTAATACTTTTACTGTTAAATCACAAAGCTTGGGGACAGAAAATACAGTCACATCAAGGGTTATCAAGAAGGAATGAGGCGAACGGGCAAACTTACTAAACGAGTTTAAACAATATTCCAGAGAGACTCCCGACCGTCTTTGTCTTCCCATAGCGCGAGAGAGAAAGGAATTTCACACCAGAGCAAGGAAATCATTATCGCGAGGGCCATCTGCACATCCGATGTGCGGGACTTAATGGCCCACCACCCCACCCCGCTACCGCGGGCAGACAGGTAATTAACAGCAAAAGCAGGCGAACAAGTTTTAAGTTAAAGAAATCACAATATATAATTTCATACATAACATTAATGTTAACGCTATTCACCGTAAACTATATTCCGTTTATATAACCTTGCAGACACCAAGGAATACGAATTCCCAGGATCAAGAAACCTACCTCTTAATATCGATATCGGAAATAAAATGATATAATGATAAACAGACACACGGAAAGACGAAAATAATAAATAAAAAAATGAGGAAAGGCCAGGATCACGGGATGAATCACAACCTTGTCGAACATAAAACCACATGATACTTGAGCGATGTTAAACCGGGGGCCAGGGAAAAAGAGAGTCTCCCGGCCGCCTTTGTCTTCCTGCAGCACATGATCAGAATATGCATACACTCAAGAGAGCATCATCTTCTCGTGGAAATAAAACCAAATACCTTGAATCAAAGACAGAATCATAGCTGCGAGTGGTACGATGCCAAACCGTGATGGGATAAATGTTAACTTTAAAAACCTTAAACTCCTTTGTGTGCCGGAAAATGTCCTACAGGGGGGGGATCTCGCCCCTCCCTTCAGATTGTATAGCGCAGACAGAGGGACGCCTTTGAAACGATTTTGAAGCATCTGTGTCCTTTGATGGTTTATGGCTCGAGGAAGCCAA